TCCTTTCCCGTCCTCTGTCGCTCTCTCCTCGTTCTTCCTCTGACGCCTGCATCCTTCTAGCGCGTCGCGCGTTGCAGTTTCGTGGAGTCCCGCGTGGTTGAACGATTCTTCGGGCGATTATTCGAGATTTTCTGGTTTGCGAACCGAGATGGGACGAGAGGAAGCCGGAGCGAGCGAGGGAAAATATTTATTTGGCAGTATTATTTCCTCCTCAGAATGATGGAGTAGCAAAATGCAAATCATTCGAAATAACGGCGTTTATGTACAACACGTTTATATGTCAAAACAGTTTAATGCGAAGCTATTAACAAATTATGCAAAATTATCTCGAGCCAAGAAGGAAGAAGTAAATAGATAGAAATCCGCTTTATTATGCCACGAGCGAAAGCCTCTAATAAGATTACAAGATTGAACTACTAATGTAGAAAATAATTGTAAATCAGTTCAAGTCAAGAACACCAAGCGAAAGTAGCGAGTAGATACTAAATTCACGATATTTACATAATAAAAGATAAAAACAGAGAGGAATTTATTCTCGATTTCTCGATAACATGCGATAACACGTAAATCCACTGAAACATTTCTGACTGGTGGTGATAAACCGACGTAATGCGACAAGGTTTCAATAACTGTAAAGGCTGCGGTATAAATAGCGCGAGAGAAATGAAGCAATATTTGAGGATGAAGAGAGAAAGAGAGGAATGGAGAAGGAGAGAAAAGGGGAAAAAGATGGGAACGAAAAACAGGAGAACGGTAGGGGAGCAGAAGATTTTCGAGGTGGCTCTAAAAATACGGAGAACACGCCGTTGTTCTCGAGCAGTACGCTATATGTGTTCGGATAGAACACGCGGGAACGCACGAGGAAACGTGGAGCGCACTCAAGAGGCGAGAGGGGGAGAGAGAGAGGGAGGGAGAGAGAGAGAGAGAGAGCAAGAAAGTGAGAGGAAGGCGGTGTGTAGTAGCTGAGTAGCAAGAGGCCCCGAGAGCGCGCGAGAACAGCTGGAGCGGATCGTGTTTACGCGCGGTATGACTGGCTAGATGAGTCAATCGTAGACCCGTTGTCTAGGAGCTGGCGCGGTGGGGGAACTGCTCCTACTTCACTGACCTATACCACGAGCGTTGTATAGCGCAGGAAAGCACCGCTAGAGACGACGCACCACCAGCCGATGAGTCTGGTGCGCCGACCGCGCCGCGCCGTGCCTTCCTAGAAGTCTCGGAAGTCTAGGATCGATCAGGAAGCATGAATGGAATAAGTTCGATGGTCTCAAAATCGATTTTCAGCTTTCTTTTTTCCAAAGCGGATTCAAGCTCGAGCGTAAGAAATCTAGGATACTGAATTTGCCGTGTCGGAAAATGCACCTAGAAATTCATTGGGGTTTGAAAGATTATGATTATTGCTTTGTATTTGGTGACACAAGTCGATACGAGCATCATTCTATCTTTCTTGATACGAACGAATAATAAAGTTAGAACGATACCTCTGTCGACTTGTGTCACTAAATGGAAAGCATCATATGATACCAACGATAGAAAACGATGGAATACAAGGAAACGATGCACTAATGATGAGTTTTGAATATCCTAGAATCAATAAAATTGGAAAATCTGTAGAGAAATTTAAATATTCTACAACCTCTAGAAAATCTTGATAAATGGGCGATTCAACATTTAAGGATTTAATAGCAATGGCATTTATTCGCGACTGTAAAATCCATATGAGTTACGAGTAGAATTATCATACTTTTTTTTTTGAGATCGTAAAATGTCTGATTATTAATTAAAATTTTGCTTTTATAAAAATTATATTATTAAGGATCGTTGTATTATATATTAATTAAAAAATTATTTTTTTTTGTTGTAGA